CTTCATTCTTTGTTCAAAAAGAAATAACTATAAAATGAATCGCCAAAAACGAAAAAGGGGCCGATTTTAATTTGTTTTTCGTTTTTTGATTCTGACACCAAAAATGGTTATTTGGTTTTTCGTTTTGAAACAAAAAACAGATAAACGGTATTTTCGTTTTAGTTACAGACGAATTACGGATTATCCAGAGATACCCAGACCGTTGTAGCTGAATCGAAGCTCTTCTGTAAACCTGTTCTGGTACAACCCCTAAATAAGATTTTGAAGCATAATCCCAGATAGCAAAAATCATGCGGCCCAGATCTGGCCCAGATCCTTCATAAGTTCTGGGCCAGATCTGTAAAACGGACCCGGGCCGGTGTCCTTTAGCACAACGGGCCAATGCCGGCGCGGATCCGGTTTTCACATCTGGGCCGGCACTGTTCCAGCTCCAGAATGGATGACAATTATTATGTAGTCATTTGGCCCAAATGTGGGCCAGATCTGGACCAGTTCCATACTGGATCTGGCCCAGAGTCTCTAAGATACTGTTGAGGATCCGGTTTTCACATCTGGACTGGCACTGTTCCAGCTCCATTTATTAGTTCTGGCCTCTTTCATAACCTTGATCTATACCCACAAAACATATACAAAAATGTGGATTTTTTGTTATGGCAGGAGCTGGTCTATATAATGTATAACAAATAGTGACTTGTATATCACTAAGGTACACTAAGATTTCTTGTTTTACTTTCGTTTTCTTTTTCCTTGCATTTTAAACTCCATTACTTTTTTCTTTTGAATTTAAAAAGCATGGACAGTCAAAACTACTGTTACACTCTGTTACAAAGACTGTTTCTATTTGTCCTACACAGAATTTCAACAAAGAAAGTGATAGAACGGATGAGTGACACATTTTAAATTTTATTTAAAATACACATTTTAAATTTTATTTGAAATGTTTGAGATAAAAAGAGAGGACAGAAACTTAAAACAAAGTAGATAATTGCCAAACTAACAATCAATCTAATAACACATTTTACAGCTCATTTCTGTCTTTAACAACTGTAGGAACAAGAAACTTCACTCCAGTTGACTTGCAGGTGACAATTAGTTTCTAGTAACCGTACAGTAACCACACCCTATGACACAGGTGTTATTTTTAAATGAATGCAGAAGTATTAAACTCTAATAATAGCAACAGTGTGGCTTAGTTAAAAAGCTCAATACATTGACATTGCTATCAGTCTTGCATAGTGTAGTGTACCATTAATAATGATGATGGTAAGAAAGTAAGATTTCTTTCTCCCTGAGAAACATATAAAGCTAAAGCCAGGAGACACAAGATAACGTTTTAATTAGCGACAAGCAATAAGTTTGTCTTGATAGATGATTACTGCCAGCCATTTAGATTTTAACCATTTTCCATGACCCTGGTATAAATAACAAAGATTTTATAGCCAAAATACAATATCCAACTGCAACTAGTCATGTGAAACCCTGAAAAAAATGTAAAATGTTCATACACATTGTTTGGTGGCTTTACGGGAAACATTGATGAGGCAAGTGGAGAAGTGGGAATGCCATAACCCTCACATGACACCCAACAAATCATCAGTAGTGGAAGAGTGGGGGATGGCCGATGTGTTCATTTCTGCGAAGGATAAAAGAATGGGTGATTACTCAACTGATAATGGCAATCACAAATTACATAAAATCCACAGAGATTAGTCATTTTAAAGGTGGCTGGACTAGACTATGGATGATGAATGAATGATTATTTCGGTTTTTTTGCCCTCCTAGTTCACTGACCAGGCTTGTACCGCAAACATGCTCAACTATTGTAGGTGGGGTGGTTTTTTAGACTCACAAATGTCAAAAAATGATTAAATAAATGTTAACTGATAAGATAATGTTGAAGTGCACACAACAGACGTACTCCCCCTAAATTTGGCATATCGCCACTGCTCATTGAATGAGTGCCGCTACTAATATTTCACATGATCAATTAATATCAATGTGCATTAATCTCGTGTAACAGTGTTGTGTGCGTGTGACCAAATGTGAGAGAGTGAGCAGCTGAAAGTGATGGTGAAAGTGAGCGAGGTTGCTGTAAGTGTGGCAGTAAATGATCAGTGTGGGTCAAAGTGTGTTCATAAATAAATGCTGCTGGAAAATGAAGGCAGTTAGCACTAGCTAACATCTCCCTGTGCTCCAGACTCTGGGAGCTGAGCAGGACAGGGCGGAGTCACTGACTACACACACAGTTTTTTAAGGAAAGTACATAAACACACACACTGGGGGACATTTTAACAGGAAATAAAACAACTAAATAACTGAAATGGTAAAATTACAGCCGTTAGAGCTCGGAATTTGGGTTTCAATTACTTCAATTAGACGTCCAGCCCTAGAGGGGAGACATCATGAAAAACTCCCCTTTCTCTCCCCATTTGGGTATCAAACTGTGAAATAAGACAACCCAGACAGATTTTTGTGGGTTGCCTAGATCACAAAACATGTGCTTCAACAAGCCATTCAGATTTGGTTCTCCTTCCTATGTCACATGCAGGCTTATTAGAATATAAGATAAAATAAGATACAACTTTATTAAACCACCGCCTTCTGAGTATCCCCACTCAAGGTTAAGTACCATCTTTGCAAAGCAGTGGCATATTTTTCTCGCAAGCCAATCAGAGCAGACTGGGCTTTTTCAGGATGGGGGCTTTAACGAGACAGGTGCTAAAATGGAGCATTTCAAAAAGAGGGTAAATACAGATTTACCATGGTTAATGCCTCTCTGGCCATGGCACGTTCTTTGCAGCCACCTCCACGGTCAGAGGCCAGGTTGAACCAGCGGATGGCGTGCTGGTTAATTTCGTTGTCCAATGCGCTGCTAGCAGCTTGGTTCTTCCGTACAGCCTCTGTTAAGAGAGAAAGTCAATTGGTTGATGAGCTGTCATTAACAGACATTTTGAAAATTACCTGTAAGCCAAGCTAATAACCAACTTTTTTGAGAAATGCTTTAGAGGGTTGAAAAAAGTACTCAATGCCCATGTTTACTATTGTTGGTGTGGCAGTAGACCTAATTTTCTATAGCATTTAATTTAGTAACTCAAAACAAATAGAATTTCACTCATGAATAACTAATTATTAAAAAATCATACTGATTATGAACTGAACAATTATCAAATCACATCTGGATTGTATTGGATCAGCCTTAAATCTCAGTGCATCTTATCATTACAAATTTATCTGTGTGGATTCTGTATCAGGTCATGGAAAGGCATTTCCCCAGTATCTCCAGGCAGAGGACATTTAGGGGAATCACGTTTAGTAAAAAAGTAAATAAGTAAAAGCTCTCAATTCAACTCCATGTAAAACATTACAGCAAACAAGCTTCTCGTGCTTTTATTTTGCTGGCAAATCTACAAAGAGGAAGTGATTATGTGAGTAACCGGTGCTGTCATGACTGAGATCTATTTCACCACCGCTATCAAAGTATTTTTTATTTTTTGGCTTTAAAGTTACATCCCTGATATATTAAAATATACTATTTAAATATTTTATTTTACATGCTACATACAAGAAAGAAGATTAGCAGTTCACAGCCCAACCAGTAAATGGAAAATAGATGATTGACTGGTTCCTGTTCAAATAATACGAACTCGTTAACACAAACCTCCCCTCTTTAAAGACTGGGTCATGAGGAGTATCACTTCTTCAAAATGCCCCTTTTCAACAATTTAATGCATTTGAAAATGTGTTTGGCCCTTTCATTTCTGGCCCAAAAGAACTAAGAACAAGACAGCAAAAGTGAGAGAAATAAAAGGACACAGTTTGTCGTATGTTGCTTTTTTTGTCAGAAAAGTGGATCCTAGCATCTAAATATTGAATTATGCACCCACAGTGTATGCATGAGGGGTGTGTGTTGAAAAGCATGAGTTGGATGGATTTTTCATCATAACTGTTAGACAGGAGGGTTCCAGGACAACAGTGCACAGTTTACGACCTCTTCATGTGATTAAAACTCTATTAATGGATTTGTTGGCTGCAGAACAAGTTGATGCCATATCAACTTTATATCTCACATGTTTTGTTTCAATGTGTGAGATATAAAGATGATATGACAAATGTGTTAGTGAAGAGCATGTTTACATATCCAGCTCATATGGAGCAATATCAGCATTTATCCATCTGGTTCTTTAGCTAAATGCACCATTATGCTCACCAGCTAGTCATATTACATCATACATTGATTATTTGTCCTGCCCTACAAAGGCAAAATAGAATGTAGAATGAGTGTAGAACTGAGAAAACTTTAACGTTGTTTTGTCATTCGCTTGGTAGTTGATCCCTATATAAAATGATATAGGCTTAAGAGAATATAAACTTTTATATAGTATAATGTAAATGCGAATTAATTACATGTAGGCCTATTTGAAGGTCACAAAGTTGCATTACCACCTCAAACATCATTATGTTTTTATAATTCCATTGTCGTATTGATTTGAAACAAAACAACCCTATTAAATTTATATTATTTAATGCAAAATGCAGACTTCCTGCTCAAATTCTCTGGATGAATTCCAGAGTAGGATCCTGAAGAGCAACTCATGTCATGGATTTATGTCACGGTTTGAGGTGAGCGCAAAGCAGGAGAGAGCCCAAATGCACGACACTGGAGAGCAGACATACAGTTCAGGGGATTTTAATCCAAAACACCAGGCATGAACAAAACTCTCAGGTAGTAGAAACTGGCAAAATCCAAGTCCAGAACTGGGCTGCGAGCCCTCGGAGGACAGAATCAGTTTTTGGTCTCAGCACCTGGACGACAATGAAAGATGATATGCACATGTTTTGCACAGAGTTTATGTCTAACAGGCCACGCCTACAATAACTTGGTAAAGGAAGCTACAGATTGGCTTATAAAAAACCAAGTGTATAGTTGTTTTTGACTCGTCTGATTTATTAAAATATTTTAAACAAATTTGATCTACAGCAGTGGATGGTAGTTAATATATCTAAATCTTCATTTTCTCCATAAATGTCCATATTTTCTTCAACAAATGGCTGGGTTACATTTACATAGTTCATCATCACTGCTTTCTTCTTCTTTTTCTTCTGCTTGTTCTTCTTCTCTGTTGTCGTTTACACTGAAACAGACCACTGTGGCCTTTATAGAATTTGCATTGGGGCCAGCATCCTCATAATCATGGTCATCATCACTCTCCTCTTCTTCCCCTCTCCCTGCTTCCTCTTTGAGTTTCCCCTTGGTGCATACTGAATCAACATTCACATAGTCCTCCTCCTTCTCATCATCTTCACAATGGTTGCTGCCTCTGACAGACACTGAAACACAAGCATCAGGACAAAATGTTTCATGAATGTCAGAATCAAATCTTTACAAGCATTCAAGCACAAACATTGGGTGGAAGTGTATTTTGAGAAATGAAAAACAAAACAGAACCAGTCTTTTTTTATGTCATGTACTATTTTTCCTGGTGAGCACACACATTGAGTTTGGACGAGGGTTTCTGGCTGCTTGGCTCGTCGTCTTCTCCTGACATCCAAACAAACCACCAAGACCAGCAGGAGCAGCAGCAGACCCCCACGTGCTACTGAGGAGACCAGCGGCAACAAAGGCACTATAGGAGAGAGAAACATTTTAACTTAATTTAATTTTCCATACCATCATTTTACCATAGAGATAAATAATGTACAGTAATGCAACCTGCATCCATTCGTTCCCTTATGATTTGAAAATTATACTGTATATATATATATTATAATTATAGTGCTGACTCACGTTAACTTTGAAGTGCTTGTTAAATCCGCTCGTTAAATACAATGTGTCCGTTTCAGTTTTGTGCAAAAAGAATTAAAGGCCTGTCCCATATGGACACCTGTCCCAAATAAAGGCAGGGTCAATTCAGTGATTTTAGCAAATAAAAGCCCGGGCTATTATTCAGAGTTTTACGGTATACATATATCGTTATTTACTTTTCACTTGTCTTCACCTTAGTTAGTAAATAAATATTTCACTTCAATCACAGGTACGGTGTGTGAGTGACCCGGGTATAACCCCAAGTCCAGCACACCAGCATTCACCAGATCGTCTGCGTGTCTTCCGTTCCGCTTTATTTGTTCTCCCTCGCTCTCACAGAACCACTCTAACCTGCCTGCCAGTCGCCTGCCTGCTCACCTGCTTCATCTTCACAGCTTCAGCTCAACCACCTCGCTTGGTTTTCCCTATCTGGACCTGGATCGCTCCCTCACCCCCTTTTGACTAGTGAACTGTTATCCAGCTCTGTCGTGCTTTTGGGTCCAGCTCTCTTGTACACACACATAACAGTACGATCTGGGCAACATGGACCCAGCTGACTCTGATGCCGATAACACCTCTGTCCACAAGGCCCTGTCCAGTCAGTCCTCCTGGTGTAATGAATTTGATATTTCATCAGCACCAACAGCATATCTGCTCTTGACACCCCCACTCTGAGTTCCATTTCGTATGTGCTGGATCCAGAACCTTTCTATGGGGAGTTGGATAAATGTCGGGGGTTCCTGTTCTAATGTTTTCGCATGTTTGACCAGCGACCAGTGATCTTCGCCACAGACTCTTCCAAGGTACATTACATTATGGGACTCTTTAGAGGCCGTGCTTTGTCCTGGGTAGAAGCGACTTATTCCTATAATTTTGTGTCAACTCTCTCTCTCCGCAAGTTCTGTTCCCGTCTAGAGGAGGTGTTCAACCACCCGGACCACTCCGGTAAAGCGCTAAGCGCTTGTTACGCCTGCGGCAATGATGCGGCTCTCTGAGGAGTTTTTGTGGATTCTCACACTGTTCCCCAACCGATCCCTGACCAACTGATTTATTTGTTCAGTTCCTCCAGAATATCACAACCTTAGCGCAGTCTTTAGTAAAGATTTGGTCCTTACCACCCCATCGTCCATATGACTGTGCTCGAACTCCTTCCGGGTGCTACACTCTCCTCTAGCCACCTGTAAAGTCTGTCCAAGCCTGAGATGGAGTCCATGGAAGCTTACAATAAGAGCTCATTAGCCTCAGGTCTCATTCTCCTTCCCCTTTGGGAGCTGGCTTCTTCTCTGTGGCAAAGAAGGATAAAAGTCTTCTCCCTTTGAATTGACTACCGGGGCCTCAACGCAATCACTGTCAGGAAGTACCCCTTACCTCTCATCTCCTCTGCTTTTCAGCTTCTCCAGGGCGCTACGGTCTTCAACATACTGGACCTCCGGAACGCCTTCCATCTGGTGCGGATTAGGTCAGGAGAGGAGTGGAAGACAGCCTTCAACACACCTTTGGGCCATTTCGAATACCGGGTAATGCCTTTGGACTCAAAAATGTTCCAGTAGTTTTCCAAGCCCTAGTTAATGACGTCCTCCGTGATTTTATTAACAGTTTTGTATTTGTGTACTTGGACGACATTCTGATCTATTCCAATGACAGGTGCTACAGAGACTCCCGGAGAACAAGCTCTATGTGAAAGCAGAAAAGTGTGAGTTTCACGCCAGCACATTGAGTTTCCTGGGATATGTCATCCATGGTGGGCAGGTGAAGGCGGATCCGGCGAAGATTGATGAACAGGAACCCCCGACATTTATCCATCTCCCCGGTCAACAGGAAACAGGTACAACAGTTCCTGGGGTTTGCCAACTTCTATCGTCGCTTTATCAGGAACTTCAGCGGTGTGGCAGCTCCTCTCTCTCACCTTACTTCCACGTCCACCCCCTTCAACTGGACCCCTGAAGCTGACCTGGCATTTACTCCACTTAAGTGGCAGTTCACCACAGCGCCCATATTAGTGCAGCCCGACTCCTCCCGCCAGTTCGTCGTCGAAGTGGATGCCTCGGACACGGGGGTGGGTGCAGATCAAAAGCTCCATCCTTTCACTTTCTTCTCTCGCCGTCTAACCCCTGCGGAACGTAACTATGACGTGGGCAACAGAGAACTCCTTGCAGTGAAATTGGCCCTGGAAGAGTGGAGACATTACCTGGAGGGGTCCAAACAGCCGTTTATCATTTGGACCGATCACTAGAACCTGGCCTATATCCAGTCCGCCAAGAGGCTCAATTCCAGGCAGGCTCGCTGGGCCCTGTTTTTTGATTGGTTCCAGTTTACCCTCACCTACAGGCCCAGCTCTAAGAACACAAAGCCCAACACTTTATCTTAAATTCACCAGCGAGGAGTCTCCTTCAGAACCTGAGACCATTTTGCTGGGGCCAGTGTTTTCTATTTTACAATGTATGCTATTTCATCACTACATCCACTTCTGAGAAGTTTTGAGGCGAGAAATCAACTATGTAGATTTCTAATATACGTACCACATGAATGTAAGTATTCTAGAGCAAAACTGCCAGCAAGTCAGACACACAATAGCAGACCATCATGACCTCTCAAAACAAACCCACACAGTGTTGATACAGAACTAAAGACACTATCATAAAATACAGTCTGCATTATCATCTCTAATTCCTAATTTTAATCATTCTCATCAAGTGTCAAGTTTCAAATACTCTTAGCAAATGTCTCCTTTCTTCTTGCTCATGTTGACTGTGAATGATGTAATCTGCATCCAATAAAGCAGTAGTCACAAAAGACTTCAAATGAAATAATAAACTCTATATTGAATCCCCAATTTCACTGCTCATGCCTATGCACCAGTGTTAGCTGACAATAACATAAAATATGAAAGAACATAGTTATAATGAAATGAAAGGCTCTCAGCTAGCTAACATCAGATAGCTCATTTTTAGTAAAAGAAATGGCAATTACAAAACTCTGAAAGTAGGAAAGTTAAGTGTATTAAAGCAGCTAGATAGTTAACTACTGACATTAACCTACAGCATCTCCATTGGATGCACTGGACTTGAGCAGCTGCCGCAGCGAGTGATGCATACGGACAAGACGTTAAACTAACATCAATGTTAGGAAATGGTATGGGCCATTTTAGGGGTGTCTTGAATTAGCCTTAGCCCCAATGGTATGACATTTTTTCTCGATTGCTTAAACATATTTCTTGAAACTCTAAACACAAATCCACAACTTCTCACCCAATTCTCCTAACTTCCTCTTTTCAGGTCAAAATGAACGTCTCAACTCAACCGTCTTTGCCTTCAGACATAATAATTTGTACATTTGCACATTTTTTAGCCCTTAGTGTACTGTACAGTACAACACACCGAACAACAAATTATTCTGCACAAGCATCCTGTCTTTGGTCTGCGACAAGATGGACGAGAGATTCTCCTCCTCCAACTCCTACTGTTCCTCTTCCTTCCTCTCCATACTGCTCCTCCTCTTCGTCTTCTCCCTCCTCTTCCTCCTCTCTGGTGTCCTCTATGTCTTACTTCAGATTTCTCTGGATCCATTGTTCCAAAATCGGATGAACCGACTCTGGCCCTTTTATCTTTCTATTGGAGGTTCTGATTGGTGTGTTATCAATTATGACTCTTTGTGTTTCCACCTGGGTAGCTGTGTGCTAATTGACCATTTAACCTTAGCTGACTTGAGTGAACAATATTGAATGTCAGTGCTTTCTAAATGACCAAAGGAAAAAGGGTGTTCTTTTTGAAAAACGGAGATGTGGTTTATAATTTTAGATTAAAAGCCTGGTTATAGTGTTTAAGCAACCAACAAAAACTGTAATTTCTTTATTTCACTGCAGGCCCATCAGCCCCCTCTACATTACATTACACAAGAAGCTGACATTGCTGGTAAGTGATGTGTTTCAGTTAAACCTATGGAGATCACTATATTTCCCCCTTGTTGTGGTGCCTTGTTCTTTACTGAAAAATAAATCTGTCATGTGTGGAGTGTTACAGCACAACAGCACAGCCTGCCATTATTCGTCCGGTATTTGCATTAAAGAAGTCTCCAAAAGGTTCAAACAGGCAGAGCTTCAGAGCTCTGTGACTGTATTAGTTGAGCTAACAGATGGCAGGCAGAGTGCTAGCAGTTACAGCGCCAGCTGTCACTCAAAGCGGACACGGCCTAATAATGCAACACTTAATTATCCCCCCACAGTTGTCATGAAGGTAAAAATTAGCTATATACATCAAAACCATCGCAGGCTGTAAATATATTTTATTCTGTTGTAAAGTTGGGCATTTTAAGATAGGGGTCAATGGAGACTGACTCCCTTTTAGAGCCAGCCTCAAGTGGCCACTCGTTAATTGCAGTTTTTGTTAGTTCCCTATTCGCTTCACCCAGGAGACCTGCTTGGTTGTGAATTTGGGGGCGGAGCTTCTGAGAGAGCAATAAAGGGAGGGGTGTGTTTGCTTGGTGGTTGAGTTCAAATCTGTATTTAGAATCTCTTACTATCCCATTAACACCACCAACAACAACAAAACAGAACACTACCTTTCGAAACTCCATCAGCCACATTTTGAACTCAAACAAAACTGGCAATAAAATAGCAAACTAACTGAAAGATGATGATCACATCGAGCGGTTTCCTCTGTTAACATTATACAGCATCACAATACATTTTTTAAATATTTCTATTCAGAGCTCTACTCTCCTGATCATCACTCTCCACTGTCAAATCTAACCACAAACCAAATACAATCAAAAAAATAAAGGGAACACTCATACAACACAATGTAACTCCAAGTCAATCACACTACTGTGAAATCAAACTGTCCACTTAGGAAGCAACACTGATTGACAATCAATTTCACATGCTGTTGTGCAAATGGAATAGACAACAGGTGGAAATTATAGGCAATTAGAAACACACCCAATAAAGGAGTGGTTCTGCAGGTGGTGACCACAGACCACTTCTCAGCTCCTATGCTTCCTGGCTGATGTTTTGGTCACTTTTGAATGCTGGCGGTGCTTTCACTCTAGTGGTAGCATGAGACGGAGTCTACAACCCACACATGTGGCTCAGGTAGTGCAGCTCATCCAGGATGGCACATCAATGCGAGCTGTGGCAAGAAGGTTTGCTGTGTCTGTCAGCGTAGTGTCCAGAGCATAGAGGCGCTACCAGGAGACAGGCCAGTACATCAGGAGATGTGGAGGAGGCCGTAGGAGGGCAACAACCCAGCAGCAGGACCGCTACCTCCACCTTTGTGCAAGGAGGAGCAGGAGGAGCACTGCCAGAGCCCTGCAAAATAACCTCAAGTAGGCCACAAGTGTGCATGTGTCTGCTCAAACGGTCAGAAACAGACTCCATGAGGGTGGTATGAGGGCCCGACGTCCACAGGTGGGGGACGTTTGGCATTTGCCAGAGAACACCAAGATTGGCAAATTCGCCACTGGCGCCCTGTGCTCTTCACAGATGAAAGCAGGTTCACACTGAGCACATGTGACAGACGTGACAGAGTCTGGAGACGCCGTGGAGAACGTTCTGCTGCCTGCAACATCCTCCAGCATGACCGGTTTGGCGGTGGGTCAGTAATGGTGTGGGGTGGCATTTCTTTGGGGGGCCGCACAGCCCTCCATGTGCTCGCCAGAGGTAGCCTGACTGCCATTAGGTACCGAGATGAGATCCTCAGATCCCTTGTGAGACCATATGCTGGTGCGGTTGGCCCTGGGTTCCTCCTAATGCAAGACAATGCTAGACCTCATGTGACTGGAATGTGTCAGCAGTTCCTGCAAGAGGAAGGCATTGATGCTATGGACCGGCCCGCCCGTTCCCAGACCTAAATCCAATTGAGCACATCTGGGACATCATGTCTCGCTCCATCCACCAACGCCACGTTGCACCACAGACTGTCCAGGAGTCGGCGGATGCTTTAGTCCAGGTCTGGGAGGAGATCCCTCAGAGACCATCTGCCACCTCATCAGGAGCATGCCCAGGCATTGTAGGGAGGTCATACAGGCACGTGGAGGCCACACACACTACTGAGCCTCATTTTGACTTGTTTTAAGGACATTACATCAAAGTTGGATCGGCCTGTAGTGTGGTTTTCCACTTTGATTTTGAGTGTGACTCCAAATCCAGACCTCCATGGGTTGATACATTGATTTCCATTGATAATTTTTGTGTGATTTTGTTGTCAGCACATTCAATTATGTAAAGAATGGAGTATTTAATGAGATTATTTCATTCATTCAGATCTAGGATGTGTTATTTTAGTGTTCCCTTTATTTTTTTGAGCAGTGTATGTTTTTAAAAGAGGCCACGACCGGGGAGGGCGAGACAGAGTCAAGATCAAGACCAGTTCCCCACATTAAATGACACACATTAAAATGTGGAACGAGATCATAGGTACTTCTCAGATTGATCTGAAAGATCCACATACAAACACTAAGATTTGAAACAATACACTTTACGTCCAATCAAAGTTAGGATGTTAACAAATAAATCAGACAATGTAATTTATTTATATTCCCAAAGTTATGGTCTTGACTGGTCTTGAAATAAAATCCCGAGTCCTCAATGTCCGAGACCGAGACAAGACTGAGTACAAATGCAGTGGAGTCCGAGACAAGACCAAGACCATCAAAAAGTGGTCTTAAGACCGGTCTCGAGTACTACAACACTACGCCATGCTATACTCCAGTGTAGCCGGTCAAGGCCAAATACTGTGATGGCTTGTTTATGATGTTCTACTTTCTTCAAAAAATCAACAACCTGAAAACCTAAACCTGAAAAAAAAAAGCATAAAAAATACTATAGATACTGGCATGTTTGATAGTCACACTCCTCCACTACAAAAAACTGACCTAATTAAAGCCAAAAACAGTCTCAATGCAAATATATAAACTCTTACAGACACAATACACTGTCTCTTCCAACGGACAAATGGACAGCTGGCTGAAACAAAGCAGAATTTAACATTAATTGGCAAAGCTTATGCAACAACTCATGTTTCATACAAACAGCTCTAAAACCGTTATTAAATAGACCTTACTAAGAGATTGTTTAGACAAATATTGTTTCCTAGACCAAGAATGATGTTGCTTATGTCATCATCATCACATAACATCAACTATTTTTCCAGCACCTGCAGAGTGCAGTTTAGGGACTTGTACAGCATTATAAGTTTATTTTTTGATTTTTGAATTTTTGATTGAGTTCTGATTGTAGCGTGTGAGGACTCCTCAGTATTTGCATGGCTCATGCCTAATCAGTCTACTTATTTATTTTTATTCGTTTATTCGGATCCCCATTAGCTGCTACTAATGTGGCAGCTACTCTTCCTGGGGTTCACATACAACAAACATAAAAAAATACATAAAATACAACAAACGTAACATACAAATATAAGTTCTACCTGAATCTAAAAACGATACCTACAATGCTTATACAAAAGTAAAGCTACTGACAAAGGAAAAAGCATCAGCACACATACACACTATTATACAACAAACCATTCACCTAAGCTCATCAATGTTGGATTTATTATTCAAATGGTTTTTTAATAGCCTTTTAAAACCAGCCTTACTGGGTGCTTCAGCAATGAAAATTGGTAAGTTATTCCATATTTTGATGGCTCTATACATACAGATCTGCATCAGTCCTGGGTTTTTTCAAAACTAGACAACCCTTTGTAGCCTGCCGAGTACTATAAGTATGTTGGTTTCTCAGAAATTCATAAGGTTGCATGCCAACCCCTCTTCCTCTCTAAAGCTGATGATACACGGGGCAACTTTTTGAGCAATGTTGCTGGACAATGTTGCTGGTGGCTAGTGGTGGTGCGGGGAGGGTGGCGGAGTGATGGGGGAAGGGGATTATGGTAATTATCTTTACTCATTACCATTGACGGCAACATTGTATCATCAGCTTAAGCCACGAGAGACTGGCATGCACACTGTCCGTACTCAGCCTCACATCCGATGGACGGGCCAGTGTGGGTCTTGCAGTTTTATTTTGAGCTATTTGTAGCTTAACCTTTTTGGCTGCACCTGACCAGACTGGTGAATGTCGTGGAAATTATATTTCTGGTGAGGGGTTGAGCAATCATTCAGTAACAACCAACCAACAAAAAGAGAATAAACAGTACAAAAAGTAAACATGTACTAAAACATTGACAGCTGGTCCAGAGACCTGCCACCTAGGGCGGCTTCGGGCATCTGACCCGAGCAAAGGGATGCATAATCATTTACACAGTCTAGGTTTCTATGTTTTGGGGAACAGAGATCCTCTCTCAACCTTGAATGAACATTCCAGGAGAGGAGAAGAACAACAAGAGAGGAAAACACCAAAACAATCTCACAGCTCTGACCTAAACCCTAGTAAATGTGGACAGACTAACAAAAGGAGAATAGGAGAGGAATCATTAAGGATAAAAACACAATACCTATATATCTATGTCATAACAAAATTAGTAATAACACTAGTAATAGTAATAATAGTAATAGAACATACATAAAAGATTATGTAGAGGACAGTAATCAAGGTGGTTTAAAACTAATGCTTGTGTCACCAGCACTATAGTGGCAGGGGTAAGAAAAGGGGAATATCTTCTAATACTTGATATTCCATTACCCATTTTCTTAACAATGTTGTCAATATGTTTCTCCCATCTTGTCAACTGTCCATCTAGTGTAACGCCAAGCAAATTTACCTCTTGAACCTGTTCAATGTTTGAGGCTTTAAGTGACAGGCAGAGCTGATTATCGCCATTAGTCGCATGTCTAGACCTGAACAAGATACTTTTTGCTACATTTAAGTCTATTTTCACAAATCCATTCACTACTAGTTGTGATTCCGATTGAAGTGTATTTCTTAATTTGTTTATACTAGTTGATGCAAAATGAATAGTTGGATCATATTGAGTTTTGTAATATTTAGTCACATTCATTGTTTTTGTTGTCAAATGTGATACAAATGTAACGGATACACTACACTGTGGTATGTGTGGGTGGTTTGCTTGTCTTTTTTTCTTTTTTTATCTTACACTGTATCATCACAGCAAGGTGTCCCGGTGGTACAGTGCCTAGCCTGTCCCAGACCTTTCTGTGTGGGCATGTTCTCCCCCGTGTCTGTGTGGGTTCTCTCTGGGTGCTCCGGCTGGGTGACTCTAAATTGCCCCTAGAGGTGTGAATGTGTGTGTGTCTGTATGTGATAAACTGGCTACTTTTCCAGGTTGTATCCCGCCTCACACCCGGTATCAGCTGGAATAGGCACCCCCGCAACCCTGCACAGGTAAGCTGTTATAGACGATGGATGGATGTAGCACCACAGCACTTGTTTTGTCTGGTGGAATTGTTCATAAAATATAGCAACAGTTAGTTTAAATTCTCCATTCTACTTACTTTTGATGAGGACACTAACTGGTGCAGCCATGGGAGAAGTGTATTTCCGTGTAGACCATGTGACTTCATACACACAGCTGTAGTTGCCCTGGTGTTCGTACTCAGCAGCAGGGAAGTTAAAGGAGGCTGAGTGGTTGACTGCTGGCTTGGGGTCAGTGATGTTGGAGCCAGAGAAGATGAGGAAGAAAACACCAGTGGGATAGTGGGAGGAAGTGGAGCAGGTGAAGACAAAGCTGTCACCCCTGGTGACCTCTGAACCTCTGTTAGGAGACGTCAGGGAGATGCTGGGCGGCTGCAGTCTCACTGGGTAAAAAAACACACCACAGAAATGTTTGACCACACAACAACAATCTTTAAATATATTTATTGTCCAAATTTAACTGGATTATTTTTTTCATTTCCCACCATGATGGTGTAAATGCTCTTTTTAAAGAATCTACAGTACCAGAAATGTATTTGCTGTAGCATATTAAATTTCTGAATTTGATTGATTGGTCTAATGTTCAAAACAAACTGTGCACAGAGTGTGTGGGCATCTCCATGTGTAACAGGGTTAAAAATGCACTTTAATAATAATAATAATAATAATAATAATAATAATTCTTATTAGGGGTCCAAGCCCGAGTGGGCAGGGAACCCGTGAATGCAAGGCATCGTGGTTCCCAGTACCAGTGGAGCTGGGAACCCTATTGGAATCGTTTTATTATTCCGCAGCTAAAACTCATACTGCAGCCTAGACAGTAAGTGCTACAGACACTAAACTCATAGGGTAGGTCCAAACCACTGCAAGTACCTCAGGCGAAAAAATCCGCACACTTCTACCACTAGGGGGCGCTATATACACATTTGCCCTTGGAACTTGGTGCCATTTGTATCACAGCATGCGACCTGTGCCATGTAGTCAACGTAGCGCCACACAGATCTTAGCATCCATTTCTTAGAGTAAGTTCAGTTATTATGGAGCTTAATGGACCAGTCTGGTGTGTGTAGAGATGGTGTGCTTATTTTGTAGCACACAGGTGACATTTGCATGTGATTTAGTTTAAGATAAACACAGTCGCTGTCACGACTTCAGCCAGTTCATTCTGCCATTTACTAACTCTCCCTGACATTACAGATCCTGCCCCTCCATGCTGCCCTGCAGTAACCCCTTCTTGCTTCCCATCTTATTTCTAATCAGCCTTGCAGTGCATATACCGCCCCATCGCCAGTCATTCCCTGCTTTGCTCTGCTTTTCAGCCTTTGTTTCTGCCTCCCTGACTCTGGCTGGCAAACCCTTGTCAGACCCTGAGTTTGAGTTTGTCCTGTTTGGAGCCCTTACAGTGGACATCGCTTATTTAATCCGACCACATGGATAGGGAAAGTGAAGTTAAAGGTTAGCGCTGCTGGAGCTGGTTCTTACACCTCCACAAAAATAGGACCTACTGGCTGTAATTATTATCAGAATCAGCCTAAAAAATCTTGTATAATGTGATTGTAGAATGGAAAGAGTTGATTAAATATCCTGGTAACAATACAGAGGACATGACCTCAGTACGTATGAGCTTTTCAGATAAATTTAAGAAAAAAAGTAAGGCTAACTATATCCATCAAGAAGCTCTAGTAAATCATATCAGTACTGGATTCCCTGTTGGTCTTTGAGGCTGTGTTTGGTCCTTTTCATGCCGTGTTCACTGCTGAGCGAATTGCCGGCGCTGCACCCCGCCATCATTCCATGCCAGGCCCCCCCGCCCCTGGCCTGAAAACCTCCAGTGCTTGAGTAAAGGTGTAAACACCTTCATACAGTCTGTGGTAAACACAAACACTCCCCTGGTGCTCCGAGCTCCCAGTATGGGCAGAGCTAATCTGACCAGTGGCTGCACAGCTAACTGAGCTAAGCACACTCATTTCTCTAAACTCTACTCACAAATCCCTTCATTTCTCATTGCCTGCACCATGTGGTCATTGAGAAAACACAGACATTCAATATTGTTCACTCAAGCAGCACAGGCTGAGCTCGATTAGCACACAGGTGAACCACAAACAGTCAAAATTGATAACACACCAATCAGAAGATTCAATAGAAAGATAAAAGGCCCAATGCCAGTTCATTTATTTTAGGAAAAAATGGATCCAGAGAAATCTGAAGGAAGACAGAGAGGACACCAGAGAGGAGGAGGAGACACAGTATGGAGAGGAGTAAAGCCTAGGTCACACTACACGATTTTTTAGCCCGATTTGTTACGTGTGAACTACTCAACAACGCATCAAAACGACTCCCCGACACATTTCTGACACATCGCCGACGTCTGCCAGAAATCCAGGATGCCAAATATCTGCCGGAGTCGGCCGACTCAACATCCATATCCAGCCAATGAGAGCAGGCAGCTAATTTTTCACTGCATAACACTTTTTACTCCGGCAGGTGTAGGAGTAGGGAGGGAGGAGTAGGTGGAGAACAAGAGTCTCTGGCCTGTCATAGACCAAAGACAGGACGCTGGGGCTGAATAAGTAGTTGTTGGGTGTGTTGAACTGTTCAGCACACTAAGGAATAAAACATGAGCAAATGTTTACATTTGTTATTTCTTTTGTGTTCATCATGTGAAAAGGTTTCTGAGGGGGAGAACCATTATTACTAATAACCAGTTTTTGTAGTATTGCTTTGAATCTCTCTCACCAGTGTGTCAGACCGTGTTGCAGTGTGTGTGTTTCTGAGGGCTTGTGTGTCATGTCTGAGGTTTAGAGTTTCTAGAAAAAGAAGCATAATTTCAAGAAATGTGTTTAAGAAATCAAGAAACTAACTTCAGCAACAAGTTAAAGCTCTCTGTCCATCAGGAAACTCTGTGAATCACAGAGTTGAGGCAGAGCAGCCGGGGGACACCAGAGAGAAAATTAGAATATATTTTCTAAATTTTTTAATATTTCTCCATCAAATATGATCGAGTTTCACCAAAATCAGTGAAAAGGTTATTTTGTACAGCATTCAATGGCGCCCGGTCCGTGAAACACGATGCTTCAGCAGCTTTATATTGAGAAATCTTTTCACTGGACGCTAAATTAATACAACAAGTGCAGAGTGAGTCATCAACATTTTAAAATGGTTGTCCAAATGACAAATTCTTAAATATCATCAAGAATACCTCTAAAACAACGTTTTTGTCATTGATGGGCCAGACATAGTGCAAAGCATATCATAGAAAAACATTTAAACATGGATTTTGGGAACGGAAGATTTTGTTATTCTATGTCACACTAAGCAGACAACGCATCTTCACTTGTCTTCATTTGCATATGAAGTAATCCAAAAGTAACTAAAAGTAATCAGATTAAATTACTTTTATTTTGTGGTACTTGGATTATGTTATAAGTAAATAATTAGTAATTGTACCGGATTACATTTTTAAAGTAATCCTCCCAACCCTGTTACTGTACACTTTTCTGGGTTAATTGCTGTATTTAATTTATGTATTTAATTGTCTTACCAGTAACAGAGAGTCTGACAGAGTCACTTAAAGGGGAGCTGAAGTCTCGTCTTGAAACACTTGTCTGATACTGACACTGGTACGATCCTTCGTTATCAAAGTTCACTTTAGGTATAATGAAGGTAGCAGAGTTGGTACTTGGTGTTTGGGTCTTTCTGAATGAGCCTGAGGTGTGCTGCAGGATGAATGTTCCACCTAAATGCTGAGTTGAGATGGAACAAGTGATGCTGACGTCCTGACCCCAGGTAACCTCACCAGCAGGATTCATGGAGATTCTGGGCTTTGAGAGGCTCTCTGAAAAACAACACAATATTAGAGCAGTAAATGGACTGACTTTGAGTTACACGTTTTTCTGCTTTTTTAGTTTGCTAAATTTCCTTTATGCCAAAGGAATAGTTCACCATTAAGGGAAATAAGCCTTTTAAGTTTTTCGGTCCCCTCTGGTTACCTTCAGTAAGTTACTGCTGTTTCCTTGTTTTCAGTCTTTATGCTAAGCTACACTGACTAGCTGCTGGCTGTGGCTTCATATTTAAAGGACAGCTATGAGATGAGGATCAGTCTTATCTAACTCTCAATATAAAAACAAAATTGTTTATTTCCCAACATGTTGAACTATTTCTTTAAACAAGTGAATGAAACAGATTCATTTCCTTACCAGTAACAGAGAGTCTGACAGAGTCACTTAAAGGGGAGCTGAAGTCTCGTCTTGAAACACTTGTCTGATACTGACACTGGTACGATCCTTCGTTATCAAAGTTCACTTTAGGTATAATGAAGGTAGCAGAGTTGGTACTTGATGTTTGGGTCTTTCTGAATGAGCCTGAGGTCTGCTGCAGGATGAATGTTCCACCTAAATGAACCTGTATTGAGATGGAACAAGTGATGCTGACGTTCTGACCCCAGGTAACCTCACCAGCAGGATTCATGGAGATGCTGGGCTTTGAGAGGCTCTCTGAAAAAATAACACAACAATAAAAATATTAAATGTATTTGTTTAGATATTTGACCCTGCCTGTCTTTTTTCAATAAGCATGTAGTAGTAAGGCAGTATAATGGAGCGACTTGAATGAATGATCCACTCTAAAAATAGCCAACTCATAACGTCTTGGTTTATCTAATAGGTTTAAAGATTTGAGAATTTTATTCTGTTATTGTAATTATGATAAATATGTATATGATTCTCCTTTCCATTTTGGCTTTGTTCCCTTTTACAGATTCTGACTGAAGGAGTAGCACTTCAGAGCATAAACATATATAGAGGTAGACGCCCTATGGAACCGGTCATACTCCCAGTTGCGCAGCTGAAGAAAGCAAGATGTCAGAGCACTGTGCAGCATATTCATGCTCAAATCGGCAGACCATCGCAAACAGGCTCAGGGGATTACGATAAGTAAGATTTAACATTACCGTATTATTGGTTGTATTTTGTGAATAGAATATTACCAGAGAGTTGAGAAGGAGCAAGGATCTTTGATATTACTGTACTGAAATCGTAGCCAGCTAGCTAGGCTATGTTTACTGCACCGGCCGGTGTTCACCCGGCCACCCGTGCTCATTCTTCTTACTCTCATCTGTTTCTGCTTCTCTATCATATTTATAGTGTGGGATCATAGGGTGACCAGATGTCCCTGGCTTCAGGGAGTGTCCCCGTTTTTGGCTGCCTGTCCCTGGCTAAATACAGAAAAAAACTCTGAATAGAAGTAATAGTAATAGTTTAAAATAGAAAAAAAATGATAGTCAAACTGGAAATGTCCCCGTTTTTTCCCCCTTTTCAGGGATTATGTTCCCAGTTTTGATCTCGGATGTCTGGTCATAAAAGTGAAAGCATGAATAGAAAGAGTTAAGAGACACGACACACCGCACAGAAACACTGTTGCAGGCAGGTGCAATCTGATGCACATAGACACCTGGGTTGGGCGCAGGTCAGACACTGCCTGGCTTTGGTGACCAAGCATCTCTGTTACAGATGGAAATTAAATTACAGTTTTTCTCAATAGCTTAAACACTATAACCAGTCTATTAAACTAAAATTTCAAAACCACAACTCCATTTTCCAAAAAGCACACCCATTTCTCTAAACTCTACTCACAAATACCTCCATTTCTCATTGCCTGCACCATGTGGTCATTGAGAAAACACAGATATTCAATATTGTTCACCAAATCAGCACAGGCTGAGCTCGATTAGCACACAGCTACCCAGGCGGAAACACAAAGAGTCAAAATTGATAACACACCAATCAGAAGCTTCAGCAGAGTCAGTTCATCCAGTTTGGATCAATGGATCCAGAGAAATCAGAAGAGAAAGGTCTAGGACATGAGAGAGGAGGAAGAGGAAGAAGAAGAGAAGAAGGAAGAGCAGTATGGAGAGGAGGAAGAGGTGAAGCAAGAGGAACAGTAAGTGTTGGAGGAGGAGATGGGATAGGAGGACGAGGTGGACAACAAGAGTCTCTGGCCTGTCTCAGAACAAAGACAGGACGCTGGGGCAGAATAATTAGTTGTTAGGTGTGTTGAACTGTACAGCACACTAAGGAATAAAAAATGTGTGCAAATGTTTACATTTGTTGTTTCTTTTCTGTTCATCATGTGAAAAGGTTTCTGAAGGGGAGAACCACAAGCAACATTACTAACAACCAGTTTTTGTAGTATTGTTTTGAATTTCTCTCACCAGTGTGTCAGACTGTGTTCCACTGTGTTTCTGAAGCCAAAGTTTGTGTTTTCAGCAAAATTGAATGGTTTTGAGAGGAGAGCTTAATTTTGACCTGAAAATAGGACGTTTGGGGGATTGAGTGAGAAGTTGTGGATTTGTGTTTAGAGTTTCAAGAAAAAGAGGCATAATTTCAAGAAATGTGTTTAAGCCATTGAGAAAAACTGTAATGTTACAGAGAGAGAGAGCGTGGAAAGAGGGAACTGGCATACGGACACAAAGAGAGAAGTTATACGGTGAATCACAACACTGCGCCCCTTTCTTTTAATCCCACACCCCAAACCAGAGGGGGAAAAAAGTCAGCAAATTAGAAATAAGCTCTGAAATGTTTTTTTTGTAACATACAGTCTCAGACAAGGCAAGGTTTTACTGCCAATTAGGCTACTGTTGTTGTTAGTATTAGTAGAAGTAATGGTAGTATTACTGCTTTACTTATGAATAGCTACATATAAGAGACATATTTACAAAATCTTTCTCACCTGAACAAATCACTCCAGCATCCTCACTATGTCCACAGTTGTGTTTCCCAAATCCTCCATGCTGACACTGAGTCAGAGACCTTTCACTTCCTGAACAGGCCACATCATCAAGCCAGATTTGACCGGTTCCTTCACCAAAGTGGGCCGACTGAGGGACACTCAGTGCTCCACCACAGCCCAGCTCCCTGCACACCACCTCAGCATCATTTAAGTCCCAGCTGTCATCACAGACTGTTCCCCAGGTGTTGTTGTGATAGATTTCAACTCTTCCAGAGCACTGAGTAGACCCGGACCCAGCTAGTCTGATACCTAGTCTCAGAACACAGAAGACAAATCAGTGCTGGATAGAACATGTGTTTGTTTGTCATTTAGTCATGACAGAAACCGTTACTGTAAGACAAATTTGGCAAAGGTTATGATTCATTATACTTTGCATCACCCATACAGACTGTGAGAAATATAAAACACTTTTCACAGTAGATCAAACACTCGATGAACTTCATCACCTACATTACAGTTTCATTTACTGTATTGAGCAACATTTCCCACTTGTTATTCTGCTCTTCAATTCTAAAAGCATTCTGCAGGTTGTGGTTAACAGCTCATATAGTGCTGCATCTGAACAGTGTTACATTTCACACCCAATGACTCGGTGACAGAGCTGCTAAAATACACAGAAAAGGATACATTTATTCAAAATACTTTATCTGAAACGTTTTCTCACCTGAACAGACCACACCAGCATCCTTACTGTGTCCACAGTTGTGTGTCCCAAATCCTCTGTGCCGACACTCAGTTAGAGACCTTTCACTTCCTGAACAGCCCACATCATCAAGCCAGATTTGACCGGTTCCTTGACCAAAATGGGTCGACTGAGCAGTCCTCAGTGCTGCACCACAGCCCAGCTGTCTGCACACCACCTCAGCATCATTTAAGTCCCACCTGTCATCACAGACTGTTCCCCAGGCGTTGTTGTAATAGATTTCAACTCTCCCAGAGCACCGAGTAGACCCGGACCCAGTTAGTCTGATCTGAACACCTTCATTGCATGTAAGACATAACAGAGAGTATTTTAAAGACCAGTGTTAGACAAGTCCTTTCCAAAATGTAATACATTATAGATTACTAGTTACTGTCAATTGAGAGTAATTAATTAGAGTACAATATTACTTTCTATGAAATGTAATGCTTTACATTACTTTTGAGTAACTTTCACTGCTTTTTAATTGGTGCATTATGCTCATAGTAAGATGTGCCTGCATATGTGGATCAGGATCAGTCAGGATGAACTGACAGCAGCCTCTCTGATCATGAAAGTTATTTGTTAAAGCACAGACACACAGCCTACAGAAATTTGATTGATCCATCAGGGGAGCTGCTGTAGTTTGCATCCTGTCGACCATCGCATTCCAGCAACAGGAAATAACGTTACTCTTTTACTTATGGATTTGTTTTTCTGCTGCCCAAATGTTTTTGGTGTTGGTGAATTACTATAAAAACAAAACACCACTTAATTTCGGGTGCGTTGTAACACGCGCTACTGAGATTGTGACGGTTATAATATTACCGTTTTTTTTAAGTAATGCATGTTATATTACCGCTTTACACCAAAAAGCAATACATTATTGTAATTGTATTACTTTTGTAACGTGTTACTCCCAGATCTGATAAAAAATAAAGTAAACAGCAAACTAACATTACTGTATGCATGACACAGGAGAATGAACTGACCTGCAGCAGGTGAAGAAGCAATCAGGAGGAAAAAGACTGTGGAACAGAAGAAATGACATGGCTCATTACATTCAGTAAACTGAAAAGTGCAGAAATGAAAGTTTTCCTTGTTTCTGTTTTAGATTCCCGTGTTTCTTTTAATGATAGGAAGTTTTTAAATGGAAAAATTGGCCTTAAGAGACTTCTGTTCTATACAATACAACAACCCGGCTATACGAAAAAGCTGCTTTTCAAATAAAATTTTGGAAAGTCTGTCTTACCAAGGGCCAAATAGTTTCTCTGCTGTATGCTCCCCATAGCTGACATGACAGCTGCTCTGTGTCAATTATCAGTACCACCACAGATTAACTAAAAACTG